CTCTCACACACACTCTCTCTCTCTCTCACACACACTCTCTCTCTCTCTCTCTCGCTCTCTCTCACAAACACACACACTCTCTCATACACACACACACACACACACACACACACACACAGGTGGGAGATGCTCTTCACACTGAGTGCGCTCTGAAACCTCTCTTTCCTGGAAGTATTAAAAAAGTTGTGACTAACAGTACACTTGCTGTACCGTCCCCTCCAGCGACCTGAGTTGAGTGTCTTGATCGAGGACAAAATTGGGATAATTCACAGATCAGCCTTTATGGGACTTTCTTTACAGGTCAGGAAATGGCATAATTGTTTTATTACAAAACAAATTATTTTGTGATAAACAGACCATTGTGTCACTCACAGCAATATATATATACCAGATGAAACTGTCCACCGCGTTTAGTGAACTGTCCCAATCACAAAAATGTTATTTTGTTTCTCATGCTTTAGTTTTGGTGGTTTAAGGAGAAGGTAGAAGACTCCATGGTGTTTTGGAGTGAAAAAAAAACAAACACTTACAGCATCCTAGATAAACCTCCGATGCGGAAATTCCCAAGCAAATGTAAACGTTTCTTTAGAGTAGATGTTCGATTTGAAGCTTATATATATATTAAATCATAAGTATAAGTCAATACTGGAGATCTTTACATTTTACATCAGATTTAAAATCCATAATTTTTTTCTTATTGTTCTTAATTTTGGTAACGCTTCATTTTACAGTGTCCTTGCTACACGTTACATGCACTTACTATATTAATAACAGTAAATTACACATAATTATAAGCAACTAACCCTAAACCTAAAGTAAGTACTGGTGTCATTTAAGTATCAATTTAAGTATTTTCTGTTTTGTTTACATTTTAGAGTTGCTTAAAATTTTAGTAATTTTGTTGTTTCTTGTTTTTATTTATTTTATTTTTTTTCCTATGTCTAGATAGTTTTTTTTATTAAGTTTTAGTTTTTTTTTTTAGTTTTAGTAATTTTAGGCCCGGTTTCACAGACAGGGCTTAGACTAAACCAGGATTAGGCCACAGTTGAATTACGACATTTAAGTAATTTTTATTAACATGCCTTAGAAAACACTTTACTGGTGTGCATCTTGAGACAAAACAAAGGCACTGATATATATTTAAGATCAGTCAGTGCAAGTTTCTTTCAGTTAAAACAGCTCAGATTTACACTTTAGTCTGGGACTAGGCTTAAGCTGTGTCTGTGAAACCGGCCAGTTTTTCAACTCTGATTGAAAATGAGAAGTGCTGCCTTGGCAATAAGCTGAAAAAAATTAAAAATACTATGTTTTTGACATTTTATATCAGTTAATGTTTGTTTTATGGTTCTTGTTAATGATAACAACCCTGGTAATTGCATGCTAGTAATTAATATCACACTTTACACTGTAACAAGGACACCTTTAAACAAGACATTTTAATAGTTCATCCCTAATGATCTTTAATGGCGTTACAGATGTAGTCTCCAACAATCTGGTGAACAACAGTTCTGACTCGCTTTT